GTTGAGCTATAGGCACCGAGCCATTTACTCTGATTTTTAAAGAAAGAGACGAAAAAAAGGAATATACTTGCTGTGCTTTGAACTTCTTTTGAAAATAATTCAATTAATGATCTTTAAAATTTTTTTACAGAACACCTAAGATCCTTTCACAGCACACCAGTGTGCTGCAGCACACCAGTTGAAAATCTCTGCACGAGGGGAACTAACCCATGTGATCCTCTGTGCTTAGCCCACTGCTGGCCACATATATATGCTCAGTAAATATGTTAGCATTGAATGCATCTCCAGGGGCCACCCCAATCCTGTGATTCCATGTATCCTCCTGGTTTGGGGCAGCCTTGATGTCTCCTGTTAAAGCCTCCCCCACTCTGTGCACTCTGTCTAGGCTCTCCTGGAGAGAACACTCATCTCTTGTTCCTGTCTCCTCCCCTCCCATTGTATCAAACCATTTATAGTCATCCAATATAATATCTTGTGTTTTTAAACAATAGTGTTTTTACATTCTAAAAGCAGTGCATGTTCGCATAAAATGTTTGGAAGATAAAGGAGCTTCACAGTCACATTCTGGCTGTTTAGATGTCAGAGAGCTGTGACAGTCACAAAAAGAATAGAAAAGGGCCCTCTTAGCTTCCTGGCACACCCTGTCTTCTTATGCCCTGGTCCCCGGCAGGCTCTTTCCAGCCACTGTCCAGTGCCTAAGTCTTGGACAGCACAGGGAGTTTAAACTATGCTACGGACTGCTGGGAATAAAATCCTTTATGCAGAGGAGATTCTAGATTTAGATACCTAGCTCAGGACTATTAGATTCCTGTTGGGAGGCTTAGAAGTCAGTGAAGGAGTAAAGAACGCTGTTAGAGAAGCTCTCTTTCTTAAGGAAAACTTTTCGTTAATATTTTGCCACTGTGAACATGGGCGATAACTCCCTCTTCCTCCTGCCCCTGGGGATACTGTGGTGGAGGGGGGTGTTGTTATGGGGCAGTGTGTGCCTCTGGAGGAAGCTGCTGGAGACGACACACAATTGGCAAACTTAGAAACCTGTGCAACATACTGGTATCTGAAGGTGGGATGTGGGTGCAGAGATGCCGACGCCACCGGGCCTTGGTGGGGACGGTACCTGAGGCAGCTGGCTCCCTGGGCTGGTAGTAGCTGCCTCCTCCCTTTCCCCTAGCCTGCCATGTAAGTGAAACTTTCTGGTGCACCACAGTGTGGCCCAGAGTAGGAAACACACCGTTCTATACAATGGTTTTCAGCCGTGGTTCCCGAGGATGGAGGTTGTAATCAATACACACTCCAGGGGTCACTTGAATGAATCTCAGAGGTGAATGGGACTTTGGAGGCTGCATCTTGCCCAGCTCCCCCATACTATTCATTTTTCTCACAGATACTCATCAGGCGGATTCTGACACTTCTAGTGATGGAGCACTCACTACCTAACAGACTCACATTGCATTTATGGAAGCTCTACACTTTAGAAAATTCCTCTTTGGGGCCAGGTGAGGTGGCTCACACCCATAATACCAGCCCTTTGAGAGGCTGAGGTAGGAGGATCACTTGAGGCCAGGAGTTCCAGATCAATCTGAGCAACATAGCAGGATTCCATCTTTACAAGAAAGTGTTTTTAAAAAATTATCTGGATGTGGTGACTCGTGCCTGTAATCCCAGCTACTTGGGAGGCCGAGACAGGAGGATGGCTTGAGGCCAGGAGTTTGAGACCAGTCTGAGCAAGAGCAAGACCTCATTTCTATAAGAAAATATAAAAATTAGCCAGGTGTGATGTGCGCTGGTTGACAGAGAAAAGAAAGATTGTTGATTGGTATTAGAAACCAAGATGGTATGTTTGTTCCAGATAAAGCCCAGGCCAAGACGCACCCCCACTCAGCACAGCCCACCCACCCCCATTCTCAGGGGCTGATCACCTTCACAGTAATCTCTTCTTTGTTAACACTCAGTGTTCATGCTCTTTGTTTGATAATTTGCCGGGGTTATATTTTGTTAATGCCCTTTTCATCTATCTCTATAATCTTCCTACTATATCCTCAGTGCTGACTTATTGTTATTGGTGATGCTTATGAATTTTAATCCCCCTACACCACTTGATGAGAAGTTGGGACTCAGTGAGATTTGTGGTTGCAGTATTTGCTCAGATATCATTTCATTCCAGAGACAGCCAGATCCTGCCTGTAGTACACAGTAGCAAGTTCACTAACAGAGTTGGAGACCATGGCCCATGTTCTTTTGTAGTCCCTTCTCCCTCTTCTAAAGGAGGTCAAGTTGAATCTTCTAAATAGTTCCCATGATTACAGCTCTGAGGAACTTAGCTGTGTTGGGTGAGATTAAGTTAGGGTGCTGTTACCAGTTGTTATTTCAGTGTGGCCTAATTTCACACAGGTGGGTCAGGCCCCAGCTGTGTCTCTGCTTTGGAATGTGCCCTTCAGTTGCATAGGGATGATCTGAAAGAAGGGGAACCCCTGGGTTCTGCTTCAAAGAGCAGAATTTTGATTGAAGCTGTAGCCTGTTGCTAAACTTAAGTCATTTCAATGGGGCTGTGACAATGGCTCATGCTTGTAATTCTAACACTCTGGGAGGCCAAGGCGGGTGGATTGCCTGAGCTCATGGGTTTGAGACCAACCTGACCAAGAATGAGACCACATCTTTAAAAATAGCTGGGCATTGTGGCAGGTGCCTAGAGTCCCAGCTACTTGGGATGCTGAAGCAAGAGAATCACTTGAGCCCAAGAGTTTGAGTGAGGTTGATGTGAACTACGATGCCATGGCACTCTACCAGGGCAACAAAGTGAGACTTTACCTCAAAAAAAAGAAAAAAAAAAAGTCTTTTCAATGTAACCTATGTGATTTTTGCCATGTCAACATACTACTGGTACTCACAACTCATTTAATCTTTTTAACTTAAATTTTAATCTCATCCTAATAATATCAGCCACAAAATTATAGGTTTACTAGAACCTGCGGTATTAACAGTTTTTCAAATAGATGCTCAAATAAATGCATAACCATTAGGTAATTCTTCCTCTGGGTACTGTATACAATTGTATCACATTCCTCTGTGGTACACTTACCACCCTTTGAAACACACAGTTCTAGTGTTTGGTCTTCTCTTCCCCTCCACCTTCTAGAAGTAAAGTCTTTTCCAGCTGGGTCACTGGTGTTCTGGTGGGTTTCATTATAGCACCTTTGGGGCCACATTGAGGGTAAAGAGAATGCCAGATGAGTCTGTAGGCATTTCTTTTCTAAAGAGTGAGAATATCTCAGCTTTTATCCATTCCTGTTCCCAGGCATTTTTTAAATTTTTTATTTTTTATTTTTTTTTTCAGTTTTTGGCTGGGGTCAGGTTTGAACCTGCCACCTCTGGTATATGGGGCCAGTGCCCTACTCCTTTGAGCCATAGAAATTATAACTAAGATTCTGCTTGAAGATAAGGTTATATTGATTTTTTTTTTCCAGACAGAATCTCACTTTGTTGCCCTCAGTAGAGTGTCGTAGGGTCATAGCTCACAGTAACCTCAAACTCTTGGGCTTAAGTGACCCTCTTGCCTCAGCCTCCTGAGTAGCTGGGACTACAGGTGCCCGCCACAATGCCCAGCTATTTTTAGAGATGGGATCTCAATGTAGCTCAGGCTGATTTTGAACTCTTGAGCTCAGGCAGTCCACCCGCCTTGGCCTCCCAGAGTGCTAGTATTACAGTCATGAGCCACCACGCTTGGCCTATATGGTTATTTTTTAAAGTTTGAAAAACCATAGTATAAGTTAATCTAGGATTGACACTTCTGGAAAGATCATTTAGGGGGACATCCATTCATACATTCATGGAGTACTTCTTGGAGCTGCTCTTAGCTCTTAATTTAGAGCTAAAGTCAGGAGAGCTGGCTTTACATGTATTTTGCTTATTGCAATGAAACGAAATGAATTTCCAGGTAGCTTGGCATGAAGCCATGAGAAGCACTATTCTAATTATCTCCCACTTGATCCAGATTGATGGTAAGCCTCTGATTCAGGTCCAGAAGCTGTCTTCCAATATCAAGAACCCCAGGACGACCAAATTCTCGAATAAGGTAGGAAGTGATAGTTTATGACTTTCCTCTTGCCTAGAGAACAAGAGCAGGTGGATGGCCAGGATAGATTTCAACAGTTATTTTTGGTTGACTCAGCGTAAAATGATCAGAGCACTCTATCCATATCACCATGCTTCATCTCCACATAGTTTTAAATGTTTTTCAATGACAGTCAGATTACCTCTCTCCTGATCAATCAATCAATCAAGGCGGGGGCAGGATCCAAGTAAGTAGGTCAAGTCAATAATGTAGCCATAGAGGAAATGGGAGCTTATGTGGTACCAAGGCAGTTTAGCACTGGGTAGCAGAAAGTCCCTGTGTTAAGGTGGTAAGATACTGGAGTGATGATGATAATGGCAAGCACACATGGAATGCTCCACATTCATTACCTCCTTTACCTCACAAATGCCTTATGAGGTAGGGCCCTTTTGTCCCCATGGCAGTGATGAAATAGTTGAGGCTTCAGGAAGGAGTCAGTGTGACTTAAAGGCCTCCAGCTAGTAAGTGGTAGAGCAGGATTGAAGAGCCTATTTGCTTGATTACTCGCTGCCCTGAAATCTGCTTTTCTCACCAAGAACTCTAAGAATAGATTTAGGTCCAGATTTGGGTTAGGAGTAAGCTTGTTGTGGAAAAGAGGCCGAAGATATTTTCTCACTTGAGGCTACTATCACTTAGCCAATTTCTCCTCCTGCAGAATACAAACACCGGCATTATTTCACTCCCTTTTGTGGACACCAAGGAGACGAAAAACATGGTAAACTTCCCAAGCATTAGCAACAAAATCCTACTGAAGCCACCTGCATCGTATAGGGTGAGTACAGGGCAGTGGACATGCCCTTGAACACACAGGTGAAAGACCTGGTTTTAGTTCAAAACCAAGTTTAGAAAAGCCTAGGATGGTGGGGAAATGCAGAGTGTCAGCTGAAGAGCTGAGTTCTAGTCCTGTTCTCACTTCTTATGATGAACACAAACTCAAGCAAATAAGGCATTGATCTTCTCTACAACCAGCCCTACAAAATGGGCTCTCTATAGGGTTGTCATGAGGACTCATTAAGGAAAGGAAAAAATGAAGTTCTGCTGTATAAATGGTAGAACTATACAAAATTTTGTTTTCCTCCCATGTCCCCTGCTTTTCTGTGTAAGGACCAAATGAGATAATATGTGGGAAGGTGCCAAGTTAAGGAAGTGCTGAACACACATTAAGTTCAAGGTCATATGCTTTGAGGCAAGTTGGGAATTGGCCTTTTCAAGAGCAGCAGTTACAACTATTCCTGTCTCTTCCTGCAGTAGATGTCACTGGGGTTATCAACTGCTTGCTGCGATGTGCACGGGTCTCCCAGGGAATGGGAGTCAAATGAATACTTTGGGAGAAAGACTGGGAAAACCTACTATTTCTTAGTCACTGTTTTCTCCTTAGAGAGGTAGAAAAAGAGCCTGAGTCTGGCTGGTTGTGGATGTCCTTGGATAAATAAATGGTTTATGGCCCCCAGGAGAAACTTTAATTCTTTATTGCAAACCTCTTTTTCAGGAGAGTCAAACTCATAATCAGATGCCATCCTCTGAGCTCAAAGTTTCAGAAATGCCTCTCCACTCTACCATTAAAATCCAGGACACCAAGTCGGAGGAGAAATCACCAAGGAAGCACAAGCCGGCTCTGACAGCGGCAGGTATACCTTTGAGCAGTAGTAGCACGGCTGGTGGGGATGTTGTGGATGGTCAGGATGTCCAGAGCTGAGCTGAGTTGGAGAGGGCTAGCTGTCAGGTGTCCGAGGGTCAATTAAGGCAATAAGCCAAGGTGAAAGTAAATGTTAAGCCTTTAATCTCTTACTGTGATAATGTAAGCAAGAGACTAAATAGGAGAAAACACCATCTCCTCTCTGTTCCGTTTTCCCCATGGACTGAAACTGGGCTAGGGTAGATGTATCAGCACAGACGGAGGGAATTGTCTCACTGTTTAGGGGGCTCAAACAAAAGGCTCCTGTTCATTTTAGGGGCCCAGGGTCTAAGGGGAAGAAGTGAGTGGGGAAAAGGTAGGAAGGGAAAGTACTGAGTACTGGGTCAGAGCACAGCAAGGTGTCTCTGAGGTGCCCCTTCCTCTCCATAGGAGGTCTTAGCAGAGGAGGCTAAGGAAGGCCCCAGCCAGGCCTTATAGAGGCAGTGGAGGGGGAGGGTGGGGCTTAGAAATGCAGGTATGTATGTATAAGGTCTTGGTCAGCAGGGGCTCAGTCCTTGCCTGCAGCTCCCTCCAGAGGCTGTACTGCGTTGGCTATGTGCCATGTATGGTGTTGGGAGAGCACCTCCCTGCACCCCCATGAGGCCTGCCAGGTAAAGCCTTTGTAATTGCCTATGGTTGGGTTTGAAAAATCACATATTGGTTTTGGACCATGAGTCAGACTCCTCACAGGGTTCAAAGACTCATAACCTGTTAATGCATTCAAAGGAGGAGAACCAAGATCCTCTGAGCACCTATTATATGCCATCATTGTCCAATGCTCGGAGCTCCTTCTACCAGCTTCAAAATTGAAATTCGTTGTTGACACTAGGCTAGAGTGCCATGGTGTCATCAAAGTCACTGCAACCTCAAACTCTTGGGCTCAAGCAATCCTCTTGCCTCAGCCTCCCAAGTAGCTACAGGCACCTGCCACAAAGCCTGGTTAATTTTTTTTTGAGTAGAGGTGGGGTCTTGCTCTTGCTCAAGGCCTGAGCTCAAGGAATCCTCCTACCTTGGCCTTCTAAGGATTTGGAAGGATTACCAGTGTAAGCCACCATGCCCAGCCCAGATTGTCATTTATTCTACATTTACAAAGTTGATATCTGCCTCCCTGCTGTCTTAGACCTTCATATGTCCTCTGGACAAAGAACATGCCTTATGCAATGTCCACACGACTACCCTTCACATATATGAAAACAAAGGTCTTGTCCCCTGAGAGTCTTTTTTTTTTTGAGACAGAGCCTCAAGCTATCCCCCTGGGTAGAGTGCCGTGACATCACAGCTCACAGCAATCTCCAACTCGTGGGCTCAAGTGAGTCTCTTGCTTCTGCCTCCCAAGTAGCTGGGACCACAGGCGCCCGCCACAACGCCCGGCTATTTTTTGGTTGCAGCCATCATTGTTGTTTTGGTGGGCCCGGGCTGGATTCGAACCCACCACCTTGGGTGTATGTGGCTGGCGCCTTAGCCAGTTGAGCCACAGGTGCTGGCCGTCCCCTGGGAGTCTTTTCTTTCCTCCTCATAGTTCCTTCTCTAGCTCTTCAGCATTTTCTTAAGTAACATGGTGCACCCCCCGCCTCCTTGTTTTTCTCCTCAAAGAACATACTAGGTTAGCTATTAAAGGGTGCATGACCCTGACAAACTAGATCCCAGATGTGATCTGGCTAGTGTAAAGAAGTACTAATGCACATTTTCTTCTGTAGGCTGAGGTATTCACTGGGCCTTTAAAGTTGCATTTGTTACCTTTCTGGGCCCTGAAAACATTATATTTGCAAAGCCTCTCAAGATTGACTACTTGTGCAGCCTAATAATTTCACATGAACTTGACAAAATGCCACCTTCACTAGACACTGTTGTTGACACAGTGTTTTACCCATGTTGCTCTAACCCACAAGTCTTTGGGAACTTAATATGCCCTTTCTCTGCCTTTATGTTTTCCTTTTGATTTGTTGAAATAAGTACAAGACCTTATTGCATTTCCACCTTGGGAGATTCCAGGTGACTGGTGGGGGTGTCATCATCTGCACCCGGACACATCCCCACATGGCCCCAACTTAACTGATGACTGTAGTGTTTTTCACACAGAGGCCCTAAAGTCTTTTAAGCACCAGCTGTCTCCTTATGAGCAAAGTGAAATCCTGGGCTACACAGAGATATGGTTCCTGGGGCTGGAAGCCCAGAAACTGAACGTGGCTCCTGAGAAGTTCAGCAAGACAAGTTTTGATGATGACCATGGCTCCTATATGAAGGTGATGGGGAAAGGGGAAAGGGACCCGGGGACATTAGGGGGTTTGAGGACAAGAGATTGTCTGGAAAAGGAAAAATCAGGAGTACTTTATTGAAATTTGTGCTGATATATGTGCAACTAGATGTCCTGAAGAATCCTAGTTGGTCTTAAACTAAAGAAATACCATGTCTATCAATGAGGGAACGTGCAGTGTAGCATGCAACATGCTCTGCTGACTGGAGACTGATTTTCCCCAAGAGTATTTGGAGTAGCAGGTTTGTATCCAGGGTGACCTCCCACGGCCTCTTCCCCAGACCAGCACATTGGAAAAGTCCAGACAAGAATAAGATGCTGTCTCCTCAACAACTCCATACGTGGATGCTTTTCTGTTTTATAGTAGATGTTTCTTCCCACAAACAAAAAAGTGTTTGTTACTGCATCCTCTGTGCAGTGATTAATGTTATTCTGTTTTTCAAAAATCGATCCCAAGAACTCCTTCTTCTCTTCTCATTGTACCCTCTGGGTTCCCAGGTTTGGTGCCTTTGCCCAGTCTGAAGGTGAAATTCGAGCTGGAAGTATGACACTAAGTCCACTAGGATATGGGCTCTTAGGGATTTCTGTTAACGTTTCTGGACAATTTGTCACAATTTGGTTTTAGGAGACAAGATGAGTCTTTGATGGCTTTGTAGAAGATTTTTCTTAGCATTTAGGGCTGTGTTCCTCAAGCTTTGCTATGCACACAAATCATCTGGGGATCTTGCCTAAACAGAGATTATTATCCAGCAGGTCTGGGGCAGAGCATGAGATTGTGCATTTCTGAAAGATTTCAGGCGATCCCCAGGCTGCCAGTCCTCGGACCACACTTTGAGAAGCAAGGATTTGGTTTCTGTTGTACAACTTTACATGGAGCCCTGGTTCTCCACGTTTTTAGGTCAAGGATCCTTTTAGGAGGATCCTTTTGGGTCCTCATTCTAGAAAAAGCAATCTGCTCATACACAAAGTTTCAGGTAACTAATCAGTCCTTAGTAAAGAATCCCTAATATAAACTTAACCTCCAGCTCAACCAGACCTCCCCAACCCCACACTGCCTGAGCCCAGAGTCTCTGGGAAATTCTGCCTTTAACAATGACTTTTAAGTTAATTCACTAGAACTCAATTTCTCAGTCTTAACTCTTTTTATTTATTTCTTTTTGAGACAGCATCTCACTATGTCACCCTCTATAAAGTGCTGCGGTGTCACAGCTCACAGCAACCCCAAACTCTTGGGCTTAAGTAATTCTCTTGCCTCAGCCTCTTGAGTAGCTGGAACTACAGGCTCCCGCCACAACACCTGGCTATTTTTTGATTGTAGTTGTTATTGTTGTTAGCAGGCCTAAGCTGGGCTCAAACTTGCCAGCCTCGTTGTATGTGGCCAGCACTCTATCCACTGAGCTATGGGCGCCGCCTCAGTCTCAAATCTTAGAGAGCTATGTTTTTGGTGAGGAGAAAGTAATACTGTGTGCTCTCTATGATCTAGGACTCTTCCTCCCTGTTGTATTCCAGTGCACACACAACTACATACTGCACATGGCCAGATTCCCAAACAAGCCACACAGGTGCATTCTTACTTTGTTCTGTCAAAAGATGTTAGCTCGGTGTCTGTGGCTCAAGTGGCTAAGGCACCGGCCGCATACACCTAGGTGGTGGGCTCGAATCCAGCCCGGGCCGCCAAACAACAATGGATGCAACCAAAAAATAGCTGGGTGTTGTGGCAGGTGCCTGTGGTCCTAGCTACTTGGGAGGCTGAGGCAGGAGACTTGCTTGAGCCCAGGAGTTGGAGGTTGCTGTGAGCTGTGATGCCACGGCACTCTACCCAGGGGGACAGCTTGAGGCTCTGTCTCAAAACAAAAAACAAAAAAACAGATGTTAATTGGATACTTACTTATTGAGCACCTATCATAAGCCTAAACAGCTGCTGGACTCTGAAAATATAAAGAGAACTGCTAAAAATGAGTGCCAAATGGTCCTTGCTCTCAAGTAAGCACAATTAATGCCCAAGCTGGCACGTGAGCAAATAATTAAGAAACAGTCAAAGTGGGCATATGTAGAAGATATGTTTAAGTGCTAGGAGAACACATGTGTCCTTTACACCAACATGTATGCAGATCTCGTCCCTGTCCTTTCCCCACATCATTTTCTTCATGACAAACCCTTGCAGGTAGACTAATCTACTTCCGTGTGTTAGCAAAGTTGTACACTTCAAATTCAAGTTCTTGATTCCTCCTGTCTGAAAGGACTCAGACTACATCTTTACAAACATATCTGTACACACTTTCCTCTCTCAAATTCATGAATGTAACTCTGGAAACCAGATTCACAGAGCTTGAGGACCTTAGAGATCTAGAGATCGTCTTATCCAGAATCTTCACTTTGCAGATGTGGGCACTGCAGCTCGGAGTGGGTAAGTGGTTTGTCTGAAGCCACCCAGCTGATGTCTTTGTAACTGAAAGTTTTCTGTGAATTTAACTAAATACTTACTTCCTAGTTTCCAGCACCAGGAGAGACATGGGTGATCCTGGGTCTTGGAAAATATTTCTCTTCTTATTCAAGAAAGGCTCAATTTCTGTATTGATCCCTCTAGGGTAGGATTAAGTCTGAATAAGTCCAGCGGAGAACCTAATCTGGCCAGGAAGAGGTAGAGCAGACATAAAGCCTCCTCTGACTGATGTAGACACATCAAAGGTCAGAAATGGAACTTTCCCCAACCTGGAGCTGCTGCTGAACTTTAAGAATCATGAAATGTCCAAGCTGAAAGGGATGTTCAGGACCACTTTGTCTAACTCTCTTACTTTACACATCCTAAAACAAGTAGAATACCAGAGGACAGGGACTAGAAACCATATTTTCCGATGACCTTCCAATGATCTTTCCCCTGCTGACGGGGATCGAGCCTGTGGGATTTTTTCCTGTATCACATGAGTGGCCTGGGAGTCAGGCAACAGCATGGCCATGGCAGTAGCCATGCAGTGAAGGTGGGAGTTGCACAAGAGCCCAGTGAAGTTCAGAAAACTCTCCCAATGAGTTAGCCATGAGACGAGAATGGAGATCCAGGGTCCTTAGCATCAGGGAAGCCCGTGAGCGGGTGGCTCTGCCCCTTACCCTGGCCTGGCTTCTGCAGGTCCTGCATGACCACATTGCCTACCGCTACGAGGTCCTGGAGATGATCGGAAAAGGGTCCTTTGGACAGGTGGCCAAGTGCTTGGATCACAAAAAAAATGAGTTCGTGGCCCTGAAAATCATCAGGAACAAGAAGAGGTGTGGCTTGGGGGTGGCATAGGTGATAGAGGAGGGGCAGCATGACTCTAGTCCGTCCCAGCTCTGCCTCTCCCTCTGATCTTTCTCTTCCTTTTCCTCTGTCTCTCTCTACCTGTCTGATTCCACAAAAGGGCCGAGAGGAAGCAAGAGTGTATAGTTTTTTAGAGTTTTTAGTGTTTGCTGCCACCCTAGACAGACTTTTTGGTGCATGGGAGGGGCTGACTGTCATGGCCTGACGTGACATGACATCACACCGGGTTCTGTCCTCAGACCCCCTCACCCCCATCCCTGGCAACTCACCAATCTCCTCAGGTTTCACCACCAGGCCCTGGTGGAGCTGAAGATCCTGGAGGCTCTCAGAAGGAAGGACAAAGACAACAACCACAACGTGGTGCACATGAAGGATTTTTTCTACTTCCGCAACCACCTCTGCATCACCTTCGAACTCCTGGGGTCAGCTGCTGCTTCTTAACTCATTTTTCTTTTAAAAAGTTACATAAGTGATAGATGAGAACCCTTGAGGTTAGAACACAGGACTTTTCTGGTTGTGACTATTTAATGACTAGAGTGGACATGACAGTCACTCAGTTCTCTAGAAGGCCCCCGGGTGAAGAGGCTGGGACAAAAGCAGCCCATCTCACTCCTTGATAGGACTGTCACCTTCCAGTGTATCGTGACATTCTTCCCTGATGCTGATGCTGAGGGCTGAGCTAGGTGACATGATCAGAATGAGGCCTCTGCTTACAAGAGCTAAACTGAAATATGGCCCCACTCACTGGCTTCCCAACCCTGTGGTATGGTTGGACCAAAAAACAGGCAGCTGGCTGCTAAGAGTGGGGAGAGGGTTTTGATTTTGAACAAATAAAGACAAGAGCAGATAGGGATATTTGGCCCAAGAGCAGAAGCCCACTTAAATATTGGCATTGAAAGGCCAGAAGGTTGGGACTGAAAAGCCATGCTAACTGGAGGGGCATGCTAATTTCATTATTTTTCTCTCTGAGATCATCTGATGCAATTTAAGTAAAACTAGAAACCCAGAGTGCCTTTGGCAAGGGAGAATAATCAGAGTGAGCTCTCAGAGGTCTAGTGTTAAAGACTCTGCAAGCTGGTAGCTGAGCCCTCCCATGACACCAGTACTGATGGTGAGATTCTTAGGAACCAGCTAAACTTGAGTCAGAGACAAAGTTGACACTCCCCACCTTCACTGGTGATTACAAAATGTAGTCTACTTCCCAAATTAGAGGTGAACTGTCTTCTCTGCAGCAAACCAGACAATCCAGGCTATCTTTCCTGGCCACAAGTCACAGTGCATTGTCCTTAAAAGAGCTCTGAGAAGTCAAGAGGGGTGTGGGTGTAGAGGGATAATCCAAAGACCAGAGAGGTGGGGAGTTGCCCATGGTCACAAGTTGGGATGGAGTCAAAGTCTTACATCTATCCCTGTGGTACTCATCAAGAATGAACGGCTTCCCCAACACTGCCAGGGTTGATGACCTTAGAATGGGAGATTAGTAGGAACCAGAGAAAGATGATGCAGAGTCGTTTCTAGGCCATGCTCTGAACCTTTCTCTCCCCATCTCACAATTTACACCGAGGTCACAAGTGGCAGCTCACAAATACATTATTCTTGAAATGCTTTGTATTAGTCTCTAACATTTGTAAATCAGTATATTTCATATTGTATAGCAGGCTTCTATATAATATTGTAGGCTTCTCCACCTTGGAGAATTTAGGATTATCTGGCCAAGAGCGAGCTTTCATTATTCAAGGCAACAGTTAGATGGGACCAAGTAGAGGCACTAGTGTGGGTGGAGAGAAGCTCTCTCTTTTGCCTCAGCTGCCTTGTACTCAAGCGCTTGCTCCCTTATTCTCAGGAGGCTGAAGTCCTAGGCAGCCTTGTTAGTCCTGGGCAGGACTGGCCACTTGAGTGACGGTGGTCTTCCTGGATCCGTACCAAGGGCCTGAAGAACTGTGAATATTGCAGAGGTTTGGTCCAACCTCTTAACCCACACATATAACAAAGTGCTTCGGTGGCCTTGCTGCATAAGGAATGAGAGGATATCGAAGAGGCCAGCATGGTTAAACTTCACCCTGGCCCACCATGACTTGGCAGGAAAGCTGAATTGGTAGGACATGAAAGCCCTGCCTCCTGGCCCGAGGGTTCCCTACTACTGGAGGGAAACCAGGTGGCATAGGAATGTTTGCAAGTCCAAACTCAACATTAAACTCTTTTCTTTTTTAAGAGTCTCACTCTGTTGCCTTGGGTAGAGTGCTGTGGCATCATAGCTCGTGGCAATCTCAAACCCTCAGTCTCAAGCAATCCTCTTGTCTCAGCCTCCCAAGTAGCTGGGACTACAGGTGCCCACCATGATGCCTAGCTAACATTAAACTTTTTATACCCTTTCTTTCCCAGAATCAACTTGTATGAGCTGATGAAGAATAACAGCTTTCAAGGCTTCAGTCTTTCCATAGTTCGGCGCTTCACGCTTTCTGTTCTCAAGTGCTTGCAATTGCTTTATGTAGAGAAAATCATTCACTGTGATCTCAAGCCTGTGAGTACAACCTCTGTCCTGCCCTGGGGGAAGGTTCCCGCCTACTGCAACTCTGTGGCCTCTCTATTCTATTCTTTCTCTGGCAGTGGCTGGGGCAGCCAGGGCTTCCAGGGTGGAAGCCAAGAGGTCCTGTTTATAGGCTGTGCAAGCCCAGTGAGATGAAAGAAGATAGACCCAAGGCACGAATATTAGAGAAATGAAGACAGATGTGGTGTGACTGGAGCAGACAGGAGCAGGAAGTTCTGAGGGCTTTTCTAGAGAGGGGTTAGTAGTGGGTGGGTGGTGTCTTGAGCATCAAGAGGTACAGTAAGAAGTCCTGGGGTTCTGGGTTTACCCTTTCTTCCCTCTCAACAGTTACCTGTAGCCCCTACGAGCTCTACTTGGGGGTCCACGGGTCTTTCTCTTCTGCTTTCACACAGAGAGATGGGCACCCCACTCTACTAAAGCCCTACTATATCTATTCCACTCCAAGTTGGTCCCAGGGTGCAGTGAATCTCAGACTGCTTTCTCTATGCCAGATAGACGAGAGCTTCCTACAAGACCTTGTATTCTATACATAACTCTGTTATTGCACTGACAGTTTTGTGTAGAAATCGTTCTTTTTTATCCACATCCCCTGTGGGCTGCAAGCTCTCCCAAGGTCAGGAACCATGTCTTTTGACTGTTTCTCCCCAGGGCCTGACGTGGTATCTGATAATAGTAATGGTAGGCTATAAGCAAATGCTTGTTGAATGACTTAATGATTGAATGTAGGAAAGTAACACAGAGAGGGCTAGGGGTAAAATGTAAGGAGCTAGTTCCAAAAGCAATCTGACCTTCATGTTTATGTAAATATCCTTTATCTTTTCTGGTCTCCCTGCCAGCCAAAAAAGGTCAAAAAATTTTTTTGAAGACTGTAACTCATTGGGTAAATTGTGGATTTATATACATAATTAAAGATTGTCAAGCTGGAGATGTTCTCTTCAAGCTGACTGGTAGAACCTTGTGAGGATGATGGTGTATTAATTTATTCTCACCATCCAAGTTTCTAATCCTCAGCTTTGCAGCTCTTCGGGGTCACAACAACCATGGTCTTTGGGGTTAGGGGACTGACTCTCACCAAGGAAATTCACAAGACACTTGATAGGCAAAGTATCAGGTAATACATCTCCTCTGAGAAATAGATCTAGCAGACTGGAATAGGTGTGCCTCTGGAGAGAAGTATACACACAACCAGGAGAGTGTTTTGGAATGTAGAGTAGAATCAGGGAATTACTCTCATGGGCTTAATGGTTAGCATCAATGAGCCGTGATTGCCTGTTTCATCCATTCCTTCTACAGTGCAATGTCTGCTCATTGGATAAGGAGCCTTTCCACTGGGCTAGAGACACATTAAAAATTCTTGCTCTTTTAGGGCTTTTGCTGATTATACCCCTCCAGTTAATACAGCATTCTTTAGAAAGGGTATCATGGACTAAATTTGTACTTTCTTAGTTTGTGGTCCCAGAGTCTTGAGACCAGGCCTGCTATGCTATCTCTACAACATTAGGGTACTCGGTAAGGAATCACGTAATTGACTCCTCTGATACTGAGATCCTTCAAAATGTGACTGAGACTTTAATCTTCATCCTTAGCTAGTGCACTGTCACGCTGAGATCTCAGAAGCTCCGTCTTCTTATCCCTGACTGTTGAAACACCTGCTTTTACATTTGCCCTAAAGTCAGCCTAAGAATCACAGAACGCAATCAATTCATTGCCTTTAAAACTTTGTTCTTTGTCTTCTGTGGTCATAGCATTACATTAGTGGGGACAAATAATGGACATGTCAAACAAATATAGCCAATGACATTGCTAAGACCTTATGCAAGTAAGGCCTAGAACCGTAGGCCAAGGAGAATAAAAATAAACATAAAATTTTCAGGAGTTACATTATCAATATGGAGAAAGAGACAAAATATATGTGCAAAAGAAACTGAAAAGCATTTTATTTTTTGAGGCAAAGTCTCACTTTTTTCGCCCTGGGTAGAGTGCCATGGTGTCACAGCTCACAGCAACCTCGAACTCTTGGGCTCAAGTGATTCTCTTACCTCAACCTCCCAAGCAGCTGGCACAACAAGTACCTGCTACAACGCCTGGGTAGTTTTTAGAGACAGGGTCTTGCACTTGCTCAGGCTGGTGTTGAACTCCTAAACTCAGGCATTCTGCACATCTCAGCCTCCCAGAGCACTGGGATTACAGACATGAGCTACCGCACCCAGCTTACAAACTGCATAGCATTGAAAACGGGACCCAAAGAAGAGGCACAGGACACAAGTCAAATGGAAAGTCCCAGAAAGGGGAGGGCGGTGAGGTTTTCAAGAAGACCCTTGTAGGTGGATGTATTTGAATTGGGCCCTGCAGAAGGGGGAGCATTTAGGTGAGCAGAGAGCTGAGGGCAACATTATTACAGCTTGATGTATGTCTTTTCTTCTCTCTAGGAAAACATAGTGCTATACCAAAAGGGCCAAGTCTCTGTTAAAGTCATTGACTTTGGATCAAGCTGTTATGAACACCAGAAAGGTAGGTTCCCATGTCAGTTCTTTGTCTGAGTTTTCCTTTTGCAATTTCTTTCCCTTCACACATGAGGTCACTTGGACTCTAGCCTGGGCTTAGCACAATGGCCAGTAGGATTTTGGACAAAGTGCTTCACTTCTCTGAGCCTAAGTTTCCCCACCTGTAACACGAGAAAGTTGGGTTTAAACACCATAAGAGCCCTTAGAAGTTCTCATATTATGTAGATATTAAATTACCCAAGAGCACTAGGACCCAAAACTAACTAGATGTGCATCAGAATCACTTTGGGGCTCTGAAAAATAATAGTTTACAGGGCATTACCCCAAATGTACTGAATCAAATTTCTGGGTAGTAGCTAGGAGTCTGCACTTTAGAAAATGTAGCCATCGGTCTCGGTGCCTATAGCTCAACCGGCTAAGGCGCCAGCCACGAACACCTAAGGTGGCGG